CCGGCTTGGGCCAGCTTGGCTTGGCTTTTTGAGCCAAGCCAGCCGGCTTAAGTCGATCCCATCTCTACCCATAACTACATTTATTATACTTTTTGTACCCAAACTACATTTTTCTTGCTGTTAAAAACTATTACCTCATTTTATTTAATTATTTATTTTTACTCATTGGAGATTAGTAGAAAATCTATATAAAGGGTCATTTATCACTAAAAAAAGTAGATCTTTTTAATTGTACATTTAAATACTATCGTATCTTTAATTGATGCTTGTGGTTTAAGTCAAGATCTTCCTAATTGCAACAATATATATATGTACGTGTATAATCCTTTTTTGTTTTTTTAAAAAAAATTTAACTAATGATTTTTAATTTGGTAGTTTTTTTTAGAGAAAAATGTCGATGAGAAGAAATTTTATCGAAAATAATCCCATCCTAAATGAACCATCTATTTCGCATTATATAAAAATTTACTATTTATATTGTACAAGAACATATTTGATTAATTACAGCAAAGAAGCTCAAGTTTGTATTGTTAATTTTTGGAAGAACAACTATTATGGCGTTGAAGAACAAAAAAGATATTTTGCTGCTGGTGGAAGTCAAGGAGCATTAGATGATATTAAAAATGATTATAGTTATTTTAAAAGAGGAGAATATAATTTTAGAGATGGTTTACTTCCTATTTGTAATTATGTTGCTGATATTAACGACTATTGCAACTTTTTAGACAAATCAAATAATCAATAATCTGTAAGGTTATCATATATTAGTTTTGTTTTTTATTTTTAATATTAATTTTGTTCGTTTGCTGTTTTTTTTTTGTTTTTGTTTTTTTGTTTTTTTGCTAGAATAACAAAGTTGAACAACTATAAGTTAATCTTGGCATTTATTTTAATAAAATCAAAACGATAACTGAAAAAATTGATAAAGTTCTTAAAGCGACGAATTAATATGCATTGAAAGAATATCTAATAAGAAAATTTGCATTTATGAAGGTCAAATATATATTTAGATCAGAATTTGGGTGTGTTTAGAGAGGTAGTGCGTTTAAAGAGAGTGCATTAGGATATCTCTGTATTTGAATTATTTAATCAATAAATATATGTTTAAATTCTCTAATAATTATTTTAATTATATTTATTGAAAAAATATATGATTTTATTATAGCAGTATAAGTTGAACTTGGTAATACAGTACTTATTAACTTTTTGCACATTCTTGTTTAATTATAAATACCGTTGATCCTCTATACATAATTGGCTATTCTTTTTTTTATCTAATCTAGAGTATGAAGACTTAATATAACAATAATAAATTAATCACAATGAATAATGCTATTCAAAATTAAAATTTTAATATTAACTTCTTTCGAAGTTCTCAATGACACCGATCACATGATCTAAATCGGCTGATAAATAGGAAATTGGGCTCATGTACTTTGCGCAAATAAAAATGTGATAAGAATTCTCGCCAGAGCCCAAAATATTAATGTTACCAACTAAAAAGCCTGAGATGTGTTATATTGGTTACAAGGCGCACATTTTTCATTATCATTAGATGTCTCTGACAATACAATTTGGTCATTTGATCGCAGAAAGACTCTCCAGTGCAGCATCATCGTTATACAGTAACAAGCTATGATGCAAAACATACTGTATGCTGGAAGGATGGTTATACGATCGTAAAGACTATGTTTCTAAGTATTAAAATAAGGCATTGCACAAACACGTTCTAGTTACATATAAAAAAATTGGTTTGCTTGTGACTACGAACATCGCTAAATAATGCAATTTTCTAAATTTCGGTTATGTTTTGGTATGAGCGTATATGTGCATACGTACTTGCATATTCGGAGTTGCTTTTTTAGATACAATTAGGGATGGTAAAAAAACATTTTTCACCGGTTTAAAACATGTGATGCTGTGGTCAGAATATATTAGGGATGGGCAAATTTTTTACATATTTCTTATGTATTCTTATTTAAGATTTTGTTGCAATAGGTAATAATGAGAAATTATGTCATTAATCATTAACTTTGTTTTTTGAACACTCTTAATGACGTACAAGCTCACGTTGGTACGTCCTCATGTTCGTTCCTCACAATTTTATCAAGTGATCTATTACTCTTAAAAATTATGTAATAATATGTAATAATTCATAAAATATGTAAGGCCTAAAAAATACATATCGATTACATAAAAAATTACATTGCCCATCCCTAGAATATATTAAAATTTAAAACTCAGCATATCAAGATTATAAACATCCATGTTTTAAACCGGTGAAAAATGTTTTTTTACCATCCCTAGATACAATATCTAACTTTAGCAAATAAATTTCGATCAGCTGTGATTTCAAGTGCCTGACGTTATGACTAGAGATGGGAAAAATGCGCATTTTTCGGAAAACTGCGCATGAATGCGCATGCATGCGCACTTTTTGCTGGACAAAATTCAATCTAATTTCAAATTGTCATTCAATTATATTTGGATTTTTAGACTTAAGACATAATAAGAATTCGGCACAAAAACTATTTCATAGTTCCAGTCCGCATTACGTTGGTCATGGGCCAAAATTATCTTAATGCATGCTGAATTAATGGTTAACACGGTTAAATGGTTATAAAATTTGATTAAATATCACGTAAATGAAATAGAATCATATGTATAGATGCGTATTAGTACACACACATGAAAGTACATTGACTCATCTACTTTTGTATCGAAGCTAACAAATTTTTATGTATAAATCTTTGATGGGAAAAATGCGCATTTTTCGGATTCACGCGCATGCAAAAATGCGCATCGGCCCATCTCTAGTTATGACACAACGTACTCTCACAAGTATTGATACACAAAATAATGATATTTATGTATGAATGTATTACATGAAACAGTACTTAATACAGATTTTTAAATGTTAAATATAAAAAACAATAACTTTTCAGACGAAACTATTCAATCTGTTGATGATTTTAACCAACTAAATTTCATTGATATGAATGATCCAGATGGTATCTTCTGGCTTGGTTATTATTTATGAACATGGAATTGAAGTGGAAAAGAATAAGAGCGTTCTCAAACGCCTTAATAAATGGGTCAAATAGTGTCGGTGAATAAATTTTACTTAGCGAAAAATATTCTAAGGGGGTCAAATGTATTTATTATCGCAATGAAATATTTAAATAAACATCATAGTTAAATAAGGTTTATCATGTAATTAATATATTTTTATCAGTAAAAAAAATAATACATTAGTTTCAATATAAACATTTTACGGTAGCCATCTTTTTTTATCCCTGGCTTAGTAAAATTTACGATTAATCGAGTATTCACAAATGTCGTACAAGAACCTTATCATGAAACATCCGAATATTAACGAACTAAACGTAGTGATAACGACATTTGATAAAATATTAATGGATCATTCAAGTAACATTATAATTCTTATTTTGATTGTTTATAGTAAATGGGCATCGTCACGTTTATTATTTAATCACAAAGAATAACGTTTGTACAAACTTTGATTACTTCCTCTATAATTTTGGATAATTTTGGCTCGACCATCTTTGCTATTTATGGTCGTGTAACGTATCTTTGCATGCGGTGTGATTATCTTTTTCTAATTTCCTAGTAAAGAAAGTATCCTTTTGGTACGTACGTACGTACTTATATGCCTACTCCCATCTATAGTTATGCATCTACTTTTCAAGTTTTTTTTTAAATTTTACATTTTTTTTCCTTAGAAGTTCTTGCCGGTATGATGAATTGATAATCACTGATCGTCAAAGAATATGGCGAAAGGCAAAAGAACTACAACGAAATAATCGTGAACTCTGCCCCCTCGGCCCCCTGACTAACATAAAATTTACGTGATTTGTCATTTTATCTGCACAGCGAAGATCAATTTCATGCTTCGCCACTGGGGTGTTAGATACCAAATGATTAACTATCTTATTATTGCTCGTCATGTGCCCCTTCCTCGCACACGACAGTCGTGACCAACCATTTTACCTACAGTCACGTCCTTGCCAACAAAACATCTGTGCTGATAACGTAATACAATATGGGATAGGGTCGCGGAACAAGCCGCAGGAGGTCACATGAGCAGACTTTTCGAGCAATCTTCCCCAGGTGCGCCAACAAAATTTCACGCTCACGTGACCACCGAAAAAAAAACTTTTAAGTTCGTTTATGTTAGGGTTAGCGTTTAAATTTATGTTAGAGAATAAGGGTAGCATAGTAAAATTACTCAAGGAATTTTTTTTGTTAGTGCACGAAAGGCGGTTTCTTATGTGAATTTTTGAGAAATAAACGATTTTTGACAAAATTGACGTTTGTTTTGGATCTTCGCGATCGTGTTACGTTACACCAAATTGTGATTAATTATTGGCTAATCGATGTAGATCGTCACGTGAAAGTGGCATTTTTGTTGGCGCACCTGGGGTAGTTTTTCGAGCATCGTCCTTTAGGCTTTTTTTTTTTTTTTTTTTTTGGGCGCGGTGGGAGGATAGCTGGACACAATGTCGAGCAGAAAATTCAAAGAACAAAGAAATCAATACAGATCAACAGGTTACTCAAATACCATTTCGTCATTAACAATTCCAGTGACCTGCTGTCACATGGGACTCGCAATAATGTCCCGCCTTGTGACTTCGTTCACAAGCGGATCATTAGTGTAGCATTATATGATTGGCCCACTAAGATTTTCAAAATTTTGTCGATCAATTTGTTAAAAAAATTTATGTATTTTTAAAATGTTATAACTTCCTTCCTAGTAAAGTAAATTCGATTCTGTAACTTGCAAATGACATAAAAATAGCGTTTTTTTAAAACTATAATAACATGTATCCCTTAAACTATTTAAAATTCAGTACAAATAGCCTGAATTTTACTATAAAAATATTTCTAATCTATTTTGTTAAAAATTTAATATATTTAAATAAAAAATTTTTTGATAATATTTAAAGATAAGGATTATATTTTGTAAAATTTATATTCAAATTATAAAACAAAAAATTTAACTT